AGCCCTTTATTGTGATTTAAAATCTACAGATGGACACTTATTCCCTACTACAGAGTGAAGGCTGTTCCCAGGTTATCCAATGCTGATAGAGCTGTGTTTGGTTATCCACACCCATATTGTGCCATCCACCATTTCCAGTTTGGTTCTTTTTCTTAAAAAAAAATGATTTATTTATTTGGAAGGCAGGAGTTACAGAGAGAGGAGGATAGACAGAGAGCAAGTGGGCACTTTGATCCACAGGTTCACCCCCCAGATGGCCACAACAACCAGTGCTGGGCCAGGCAGAAGCCAGGAGCTTCATCTGGGTCTCCCATGTGGTTACAGGGGCCCAAGTATTTAGGCCATCCTCTGCTGCTTTCCCAGGTGCATTAGCAGGGAGCTGGGTTGGACGTAGAATAGTGTGGGCTCAGGCAGTGCTGCATGCCATGGCTTAACCTGTTGTACCACAGGTGCCAGCCTTTCCAATTTAGTTCTTTAAAGGGGATTAAAAAAAAAAAAATACACCTCACAGCATTTACAACATCATTAGAATATTTCCAGATTTTTTAGCATTTTTTGATTTTTCTTTTTCAAGTATTTTAGCTAACTAAGTATTTTTAAGCCAGTTCTCTGTTTCTCTCTGAAGGAACCATAAAAATAAAATTTCTGTACTCATAATCCTTCCCCAGAGATAGCTACACTTAACATGTAGTGCATATCTAATCCCAGTGTATTTGTAAACTAAGGTGAGTTTTTCAATGTGCTTATTTTCATGTTTTTTTTCATATAGTGTGTATTAATTTTTGCTATAAAAATTTTTGGGGAGAAAGAGGTTTTTAAATAAAAAATTAATGCTATTAACAAAAATCAAGTAAATAAGTTCATGGTTTTTAATTAAAAAAATAGTATTGCGGGCCAGACTGCAGTGCTGGCACCTCATGTGAGTGCCAATTCGAGTCCTGGCTGCTCCTCTTCTGATCCAGCTCCTTGCTATGACCTGGGAAAGCAGTGGAAGATGGCCCAAGTCGTTGGGCTCCTGCACCCGTGTGGGAGACCAGGAAGATGCTCCTGGCTTCAGATCAGCTCAGCTCTGGCCACTGTGGTCATTTGGGGAGTGAACTGGCAGAATGGAAGATCTTTTTCTCTCTAATCCTGCCTTTCCAATAAATAGATCTTTAAAAAACATGAAAACATGATCAATGTTCCATAGCCTTCCCATCACCAGAAGAGGGAACTTTCTGCCCAAGGCGAACTTCTTGTTTATCCCATCCTCACTTTGCATCCAATACAATCCCAGACCACCTCGTAAGCTTCAGTGAATATTTGTGCTTAGGAAACCGGAACTGTTTTCATCAGCAACTAAAATATAGTATAACTAGAATGGGAACTGCCTAAGTCCTATATAGGCTGCCTAAGTTTTCCTAGAAGTACCTCTTTTAGTCCATTCCAAACTCAAGTATAGATTTTTGTGAGAATTCTTGATATGTTGTCCTGGTCCATATTAAACTGGTGGAAACAGCTCATTAAAGAAACAATGTGCAAAGGTGAAAACAAAATGAGAACACATAAGACTACACTCACTTGGTGAGTTTATCCAACAATTGTGTAGTTGCTGCCAACCTTTGTTTTGTGGTAGTGAGTTGCTTATGTTTTGGAAGCAGCGTCCATGATCACCAGGGAACTTGTGTCCCATGTAATTCAATCATGCACACAGGGGTCTGTTAAAGGCATACTGAGTACACGTATATGAGAGAATCAGAAAGGAAACTATACACAACTTACATGATAGAGTATGCACATTTGTACACAAACAATTGCTGTCAATATGTGAAAATATGCTCACATCAGCATAAGCACCTAAAGCTTTTGATTATATTCCAAGGCCAAATGGATATTACAGAACCCACGATGTACTCAAAAGAAGACTGAAGGATCTGGGAGAACACCCCCAACTTCCATCCTTGACAATCTAATTTCTAATGTTTGATTTTGACTTTGCTTAGAATACCTACAGCCTCTGCTACCAAATTACCGGAAAACATTGATTTCTCAGAGGACACTGAACAGGAAAGAGAAATTGACTGACAGAGAAACAGGTGCACTCAGGATGAACCCCACAAGGGAAAACTGAATCTGAGGTTTAGAATTTAATTTTTCTGGTAATGGCATAATTCTGCTCTCAAGTGAATCACTTGTCACTCCACTTAATTTTACATGTATTATCTCCAAGGCACACTTTTTAATCTAAAATTAGATGTAGCAGTGAGATGTGTATGATGATACAAAACATCCAGGTGTTAAATTGTTTTGTCAAGTTAGGTCTTATTTCCATTTGTTTATACCTCTTTGTAGTCTTACTTGGTGAAGCAATGGGATGAAGGAACCTGCGAAATAGTGGTGTGAAAATATTCAGATAAGCCTCCCAAAAGCTCTTCAGTCAAAGCATTTGAGAATAAGCAGAAAATACACTTCCTTTTGCCAAAGGTACTTTAAAACATCTCATCTCATTTCTCCCCAAGAACCTAATGGGTGGAGACCACAGGAAAGTGGAAGCCAGGGCTGGTGCTGTGGCATGGTTGGTGAGGCCTGCAGTGCCAGGATCCCATTTGAGCCCCGGTTTGGGTATCAGTTGCCCCACTTCTGATCCATCTCTCTGCTATGGCCTGGAGGGCAGTAGAAGATGGCCCAAGTCCTTGGGCTCCTGCACCCACGTTGGGGACCAGGAGGAAGCTCCTGGCTTCAGATCAACACAGCTCCAGCTGTTGCAGCCATCTGGGGAGTGAACCGGTAGATGTGGGACCTCTCTCTCTCTCTGCCTCTCTGTAACTCTACCTTCCAAATATATTGATAAGTTTTTTTAAAACATTTTTTTAATTTTTTAAAAATGAAAGTGGAAGTCAGGCAGAGCTGCATCAGGAGGGCGAGGAAAGAGAAAAAGAGATGAAGTTGGCGTAGCAGAAAATAAGGAATTCTTAGTGCAGAGACTACCTAACCGGGAAGAAAAGGTGGGGCTGGCATTGCAGCATAACAGGTAAAGGTGTAACAGGTAAAGCCACCTCCTATAACACTGGCATTCCATAAGGGTGCTGGTTCATGTGCTGGTTGCTCCACTTCAAATCCAGCTCCCTGCTAATGACTTGAGAAAAGCAGATGGCCCAAGTGTCTGGGCTCCTGTCACCCACATGGGAGACCCAGATGAAGCTCTTGTTTTCGTCCTGCCCTATCCCTGGCCATTGAAGCCATCTGAGGAGTGAACCAGTGGATGGTAGATCGAGATGTGTGTGTGTGTGTGTGTGTGTGTGTGTGTGTATCTCTTTCTCTGTAACTCTTTCAAATAAATAAATCTTCAAAAACAATCAGGACAAAGGTCATTCTTTCAGTCATTCTGGCTATCCATTACAACAAATTTAATTGCCTTTTATGGTAATCTCAATGTTTCCTTCCCCCATTTCCTGCAGAGCCAAGCATTCAAGAGGTACTAAGGCAAAACAACCAACCAACAGAAAAGACTTGTTGAAATAACACTCTGAACTATCCTTTCTCAGTAGGGATAAGAGGAGCCCTTCAACTGAAAATATCCTATCATTTCTTACCTTCTTTCTCTGGGTCTCCAAATTAAAATGCCCCAACCCTGACCAGAGCAGGCATTTAAGATACCCCCATCTTATATCCAAAGTGCTCTACATTAAATTCCTTGTTCCTAACTCCAGCTTCCTACTAATACAGACCCTAGGAGGCAGTGGCCACGGATCAAGGAATTGGGTTCCTGCCACCCATGTGGGAAACCTGGATTGTGTTCCTATCTCCTGGTTTTGGCCTGGTCCAGCCTCAACATTTGGGTGTATTGGAAGAATGAACCAATGGATGGAAAAAAAAAAATCTCTCTTTTCCTTCCTTCCTCCTCTTTTTTGCCTCTCCAATAACTTTAAAAATTTTAAAAGATGCCCTCGAAAAACTCTGCTCCCCGTATCTTGTAAACTACAAAATAAGCAGAATCTCACTGAAAACTCTGCCCCTGTTTCACATCAGTCTCTCATCTTAGTTATCCAGTATAATGATGATGTATTTACACCTGAATTCATAATCTCTTTTTACCTTTACTGTGAATTCTGTGGGGAAACAAAACTGACAGCAGATTCTAAGCAAAAAACAGGTTCAAATTTGCAAATTTCAGTCCAACCTTCCCATGCCATTCGTAAGTGTCTAACACTGCAATTCTGGCTTCAGTGAAGTGTACTCATGCATATTTTAATTAATGCAAACTGTGAGGTCTAGCAATGTAGTGGAAACATTCCCTTTAAAAAGAGATATCATTCCACTAGGATATATGGATTTAACACACATATAATTTTATTTCATTTCATTTGAGATGCAGAGATAGATGGCTGGAGCACTTCCATCTACCAATTCACCCACCTAGTGTCTGCAAAGGCTGAGACTGGACAGGACCAAAGCCAGGAGATGGGAATGTGGCAGGAACCCCAGTACATGAGCCATCACCATTGCCTCCCTTCATCTACATTGGCAAAACACTGGACTCAGAAACTGGAATGGGGAATCTAACCCAGATACTTGGATATGCTAAATGCTCTCTCCCACACATGCAATTTCTAAGGAGCTTATTCCTAATGAGCATAGGAATATCATGTTCTATAAATATTAAAGTCACTTTACTTAGTGATTATAGGATGTGTCATGCCAATAAAAAATTGAACAGGTATCAAACCATTGAAGGAAATGTAGTATAGTACTAAGTGTGTCTCAGAAAGTATTATATTTCTCACATTGACCCCTAATTTTTTTTCTAGAAGTGTGCTTGGACTTTTACAGAATATGTAAGAACAAACTAAGCCTTTCAGTAACACACATGTGAATAAATTATTTCATTTGCAATTAAAATTGATTTCAAGAAAATACAGTAAAGAAATTAAAGAAGCAAGTACACAAAAAAGGTAGCTATCAATTTCTAGGCACAATACTACTTTCTCTTCCCTCTTACTCTAAGTAATGTTTCCTCTTACCTCTTGTACCAAGTAGTCTTCTCTCCAACAGCCCATGTACCTGTTTGATGGTTACAATGAGGATAGTCTGATATCAAATTTTTTGTCCAATATGTTTGTACTTTAATTCTTTAGGAATTTCACAAAGCCCATTCATTTGTTCAGATATCTAACTTGACTCCATCATTAATAACGTACATGTATGATACTAAATATCCATATGTTGCCCTATGTGTATATTACCTTAATCAGTAATACACAGTTTTATAGTCCTCTTTTAAGATACATATTAAAACTAAGGAGTGTATCATATGCTAAATCACCAGTACCAACTATTCACTTTATTATAAAGAGGCATAAATTAGCACATTCTGATTTTGTACATTTATAAAAGCCTTATTAACAATCATTCTGGAAATAGGTTTTACTGAAATACTCCATATATCTGGTTTTTCCAAGAATAATTTCTGCTTTCTCTGGGCGTCACAATGTCTTCTCTCTGTAGGGTAAAACTGTGATCCTCTCATTGGTGTCAGCCATGAATAATTTTACAACCTCCTCAGTAGGTTATGGGTTTTGGAATTTTTCATTGGTCTGTGAAACATTTATTATATTCTGAGAACTTATTACGCATGGCATAAAACATGGAAAAGATATAGTCCCTATCCAGTGCTCTCTCCATCTAAATAACATGAGCAACCAAATAAAAATAGTGTGTCGCAGAGATTGGTTTCAATTTCGTTCATTTCTTTTTAGGATTATGATGTCATTTTTCAAAGACCATGTCTGCGAGCTTCGGTCTAAGGAGAGCCTGTGGTCATATGAGATTAGAGGATGGTTCACCAAAGAAATGAGTTTTGAGCAAGACCCACCGAAGCAGAATTTGGGCCATACATCAGAAGAAACGCTGAAATAGAGCTTAGCAAAAAAGAACTGAAACACTAGCCTTTTAAGCAGAAACATCTGCTAGATAAAACTCAGAATGTGGAGTAAAGAGACGTTTAAGTTCCTGGTCCTTGCTCTTAGCAGTGATGAGGTATGGCCTTAGGCAAATGATTACACCTCTTCCTACTTGTGTTTCCCCAGGTGTGAAAAAGAGGATGAAATCTCTGTTCTGTGTTGCTTCGGGAGAAGATGGAAGTACGGAGGCTAAAACACACAGTGAGCCTTCTGAGATCTTGGTGGAAGGGACCTGGTTCTTCTCCTCCCTCTTAAAAGCGATTAGCACAGCAGCCAGAATCCAAAAAGGGCTACTTCCCCGGTGTGTGAGCAAGCACATGGAAGATAACAATTCTCCCTTTGTTTCTCACCTAAATCAGTGTCCTGGCAGCCCAGGGATGGGCTTATGTACCTGAGCTTTGTCACACTATATCTTTTTTTTTTTTTTTTGACAGGCAGAGTGGACAGTGAGACAGACAGACAGACAGAAAGGTCTTCCTTTTGCCATTGGTTCACCCTCCAATGGCCGCTGCAGCCAGCGCACTGTGGTTGGCGCACACCGCTGATCCGAAGGCAGGAGCCAGGTGCTTCTCCTGGTCTCCCATGCGGGTACAGAGCCCAAGAACTTGGGCCATTCTCCACTGCACTCCCGGGCCACAGCAGAAAGCTGGCCTGGAAGAGGGGCAACCAGGACAGAATCCGGCGCCCCGACCGGGACTAGAACAAGGTGTGCCTGCGCCGCAAAGTGGAGGATTAGCCTAGTGAGCCACGGCACCGGCCCACACTATTATCTTTTGAAAAGAGGCAGAGGTCTGTGAGCATAGGCAGATATGACGTAGCCAAGTGAGCCAGGTTAGGGCCATTGGTACAAGACAGTGAAGCACAGAAGGACCCAGAATTTGCCTCTGCTCCAAGTTATATTAACATTTACACCTGGCATAATAATTTATGAACGCTATTATTTCAGTGCATTTTCTCAAGAACCCCAAGCTGTCAGCTGGGAGAGGTGCTACATAGCATTAGGGGATCAATCTGGAGACAGACTCAGATTTGAAAAACATCTTAGCCATTCACCAACTATATGACTTTTGTTAAAGTATGTCATGTCTGCAAGCTCCAAGACTCCATACAAAATAGGAAGATCATGCCCCCAAAAAATGACATTTAAGGTGTTCTAAGTAATAAGTATGAATTCCAGGAAGGCACTTAGTTCAATGTCTGACTTATCACAATCACTCCATAAGTGCTCCTGTGTTCTTTTAATGCATGCGTTAGACACAGATTATGTAATTTTTGCCTGTGATGGCTAATTTTATGTGTCAACTTGACTGAGCTAAGGAATATCAAGATAGCTGATAAAACATAATTTTTGAGTATTTCTGGTAGAGATTAGCATTTCAATCAGCAGATGATTAAAGAAGATCCAGCCTCACCATTATCCAAGGCTCTGGATATAATGAAAAGGCAGAGGAAGGATGAATTTTCTCTTCTGGAGCTGGGACATCTGTTTTCTCCTACTCTTATACATCAGAACTCCTAGGCTTCCAACTCCAGGATTTACACCAGTGCCAGCTCCCTACCCCACCATACCTCCACTCCTGGTTCTCAGAGATGCAGACTGAATTACACCACCAGTTTTCCTGGATCTGTGGCTTGCAGACAGTGTAGCATGGGATTTTCCATATCTATAATCACATGAACCAGCTCCCATAATAAATCCCCTCATATTTCTACATATACAGATATCAAATGGTTCTATTTCTCTAGACAACCTTGACCAAAATAATGTCCTGATATCACCAAAAGCAAGTAGTTAGGACTTCAACCCTACAACTCTTACATCAGTATACCACTACAGCCCAGTTTTAATGAGCTTATGTAGGTGGCAAATTCACCAAGACAGGACAATGCAAGCTCCATTCCCAGGACATGGTCAATAGACTTTGAACATTTCTGCCATTGGAGAGAAATTCTTTTTTCCCTTGAGCAGAGCAAGAATCACTTGTGGGTCCCCAGGAAGATGACTCTCAGCTCCATGGTAGAACATGTAGAATAATTACAGGAAGTTCCCACTTTGTCCTTCCCCTGGAGCAAAATATCCCCTCACTCACACTTGGACACATGGAGTTGGACTGGGACCAGAACTTCTGTATTTCTAACAAAATGGCAGATGGCACCATGCTATTGTCCAGACTCTGAGGAGGAATGGGGTCAACTCATCATGAATTCTATCCAACAAGACAGAGGACAGAGCTGGGAATACAGAGACAGCTATAGAAATGGCCCTCTGTTTTATTTCTATCCATGGTTTTGACCGGCTGGAGATAGAAAATATTTGTAGAGGAAAATGGCATTTATTCTGAACATACACAGACTTTTTTATTATTACTATTATTCCCCAACAAATATAAAAAATTAGTTCTGAAGTGTTTACATTGTGTCAGGCGTTATAAGTAACCCAGAGATGATTTAAAGCATATGGGAAAATGTGTGTATGTTTTATGCGAATACTACCTTTTATGTAAAAGACTTAAGTATCCACAGATTTCAGGATCCATGGAAGTCCCAAAATCAATTCCTCACAGACAACAAGGGACAACTGTCCAAAAATGAGTTCTATACATAAGGGGGGGCCATGTGGGGAATCTACCATGACTTCAGTGCCAGGGGACCTGGAAGTCTGCCCATAGCAGTGAGGAGCAGTTAAAGACCATGGGCTCAAATCTCAAATGTGACTTTCTCTGAAGTAACAAAAGCATCCAACAGAAACCCAGGAACGAAGTGGCAGCTGTTGAAAAAATTCTGGAAGGGGAACAGGGGGAGAAATTTCACTGGAAAGGAAAAAAATAAATCCAGAGTTTCTTGAAAAAGGAAGGCATAAAAGAGGAAACTTACAAGTCAAGAGCTCCCACCACTGCACAGCTCTGAAAGATAAGAAGGGGACATTGAGATGGCATCTGGGAATAGTTTTCTGTGCTGCTCAGGCTGAAAAGCTAACTTCTCCCAGGTGGGATTCAGCTATTAGCAAGATGATGGAAATAATTCAAAAATTCATTCTACAATTCTGTATTCAGTGTCTATCACATGCTAAGTACTAACAAGCCAATGGAGAAGAAGCAAAACCAACCAGGATTCTAGCTTTCATAGAATGTGCATTCCATAGAAGACAAGTCAAAAGATAAAATAGTGAAAAATTGAAGCGAATGCTACAGAAGGGAAAAACAGTGCCTGAGACAGTGAAACGAGAACATTTTTCAGACAAGTCTGAGAAGGCCTCTGCAAAAAAGGTATCATTTAAGCTGAGATTTGAAAGATGAGGAACCAATGATGCAAAAAGCAGAAGCAGAACATTCTAGACTGAAGCATGTTAACCTCCCTGTAATGGCAAAAGAAAGAAGTCATTCTGAATTTCATTTTAGTACATTCATTATACCTGCCACACAGAGAATGAAGCCTAGAAAAGAGAATGTGGCAACAACAAAACTGGCCAGAGACCATTGTCCAGGGCTTCAGAAAGGCGTGATGGGATTCCAAGTGTCTGATACTAAGCATGAACCATAAAATTAGAGATTCAGGGAGAGGGCAAATGCTCTATAATCCCTGTGCCCAGAGACACCAGCAAAGGCACCCCAAAGAGAAAATATCCACAATAAAGAACAGCTGCTCTCACATGGAGAAGAAAACATGACCACGGTATGAGACTCTCTGGATAGCAGCAACAATGCTGAAACTCTAACAATGCCACAGATTCTAGGGTTGTCTTGCCCAGCAATATAGTCACTAGAGCCACACATGGCTATTTACATTTAAATAAATGAAAATTTAATAAAATTCAAGTTTCTTATCCTTATCAGTCACATCAAGTCCTCAGAGGCACATGTGGCTTGTGGCTACCATATTGAACACTACAGATTCATAGAATATTTGAATCATTTTATGACATTCAATTGGCTATTGAACTTACACAATGCTATTTGCTACAAAAGTAAGCAGAAGCAAAAATGTGTGATAGGGCTTCCATGAGAAAAGACTGAAGGAACAGATGCCCTATAAACACAACAGAATAGAAATTAAGAACATGATGTAAGAAGTATTTCATTGCCTGCTGCAAGGGATCCAGGC